TGCCATAGGATAGTACTTGTGTTGGGCAGTAATGTCCTATGGTGGAGCTAATTAGTTTACTCTGGACTAATAGTGCTGCACTTGTAGATCATGATGTTTTACTGCAGAGCTAAGTAGTCAACTCTGCAGTAAAGTGCACATGTAGATGCCTCCAGCTTTCCAAACTATAACCCTTATCACTACACTGGAGATCTAGAATCAGAACATGGAGTTACCCAATAAAGTGTGTGGTGGTTCCTGAGGTGTTCATTCTTCATGGAGCAGTATTTCATTGCTCATGCCTTCTGTAAGGATAGAACTGAGACCTCTGGGTCTAAAAGTAGGGGTCTCTCCTTGCTGAGCAAAAAGATTAGCTTCATTAGTTGAAGCAAGTAGTAGATGTGTAAACCTCTATGTTGTCTAATCCTTGCTAGTGGCTAGAAAGACACATTATGTACCTGTAAATTACATCCTAATTTAATATATCTAGGACTTACGGAAGAAGAATTTATAATGTGGCAAGGAAATTCTTTAGATGTCAGAACTATGTTTTGAATTACAGTAATTGCTTTTGTTATTATCCTTTTGCAAAACTGACAAATGTTATTGATATTATGTGCAAACTTTCCAGTTCATCAAAGCACTTTTCTCTTGGGTTCTGTGCAAACGTCCTGTAGCATCTGGAGCATTTCTGGTACCTATAAACACAAATATGACTTCACCTGGAAGAGTCTCCTGCTATGTTTTAAAACCGAAATGCCACAATGTGCAACTTGTGAGCTCTCTGAGGGGAGAGACTTGTTAAGTTCACATGGTTATTTTATAAAGTAAAACTAATCTGACACTGTATGGGAATTGTGTTTCTTAACCTCTTGTTTTTCTACTAGTGTAAAGAACATGACTTGGCCATGATTAACCAGCTGCTGGAAGATCCCGAGTTGACAGCAGAGAAATACAGAAAGTGGAGGAACACAAACAATATGTTGGTCCAAGATATCTATCAGCAGCAGGAAGTCCTGTATTTGCCAGAGGAGAATAGGAAAGAGGAAGAGATGAACCCACCACCTTTCATTGGGAACTCTCTCTGAGGAATTGCACGTGCAGCACATGACAAGATTTCTCCCCATCTCTCTTCATTTAGTGAGACTTTAAATTTGCTATACTTTCAGGTTTTGTTTTATCAAGTGCTTATGTCATTCTTTGGAAAAGAAAACAACTCATTCTTCAAAGCATTCCCAGGTATTAAATAAAACAAAACAAACCCAAACCAAACCCTACTGGGGTGCACACCTGAGAAGAATGCTGCATGAAGCAGAAAAGAAATGGAGTTACATTCCAGAATGGCTAACTTTTCAGAAGACTCAAACTGAGCCTGGAATACCTGGAAGTCACAGAAAAATGTACATATTATAGATATTAAATACTTGGGGTAATTGTACCCACCTAATCTATTGATTAAAGAATTTTATTAAGTTATAATAATCTGAACAGTACTGTATATACTCCTCTATTACTACATCTTGGGTCTTCAAGATATAACTACAAATAAGTTGTACTTTCACTTCTACCTACACTCATTTTGAATGCATTTCAATTTTAAACAGAGATTTCTGTTCTCTTATTTCTATTTCAGACCATCTTCAGGCACAGAGTCCATGTTCTGCTTGACACCATAAATATTTTGTGTGGGCAGACAAGGCCAAGAATTGTTTCCTGTGCTATCTGGAAAGGTTCTTTTAATGTGTTTCAGTGGCAAATAAACTGCTCAGCAGTGTAGAAACCCCGTGTTGTCTTAAGTTTTAACTTTTTAATGGTGAGGGTTATATGCTGTTTTATGTTTTAGGCAGTAGTGAATATGTAAGGTACACGTTTATTTCAAATGCACAGTCAAAAAAACCCAACAAAGAATCTAGATCCCAAAGCAGATGATTAAACATCATTATTTGATGCAGCATGGAAAATATAAACCATAATGGGCTATATTTTTGTAAATGTGTATCACCTTATGGCTTATATGAACATGGACATATACTGTATATATGATTGTATTTATGTATTTATATGTTCTGGATTTCTCTCTCTAGATAGCTTATTTGTTGATTTCAAGTGAAATATTTGCACAGATTTCATGGTCAAATCTTCTTCTTCTATATATGGAGCACATAATAACGCCAAAGAGAGAGTTATATTGGAAGCTCCGTTGTTAGCATTAATTTGACCTCCTTGCTTCTGTCTTTTGATCTGGGTATGAGATTTATCTGAAAATGTTGCTGTATAATCTATATTAGGAAAATATTTTTTCTAGAAAATATCATAACTCCAGGTTGCATACTTACATGATATATAAACAAATAGCACTTTAAAATTTTTGCTCCAATGTCATAATTTTTGACCTTACTGTGCCCAGAACAGGGTATGCTTTTGAATCACAACTTGGCAATGTGCAATATATTTTGATCTGCATGTTTGTATATGTTATTTTGCAGAGCTACTGAATTTTAAGAATAACCAATCATGAACCCAAGAACTGGTATACAGTATAGTACATATGTGCACTCCAGTTAGCCAGTGTGTAAAGCTATTCCTATGAATGCTTGCATACATATTACTGGTTGAAATGGAATACAGTGTAAGCACCAAAAAATAGAAACAGATAGATTTTAACTTATTTTAACCACCATGTGCTTTAGCAGAATTTTGATTATGAAAATAATTGTATATACTTAATTCCCAGAAACACACGGGATCTGCTCCATCACTAGTCTGAATCAAAGATTAAGTGTTTCATTACTTAGCAATTAGTACTCGTAAATCAAAGCAGAATCAGAACTTTATGGGGAGTAGGGTGTTCAAACCAAACTGTAGGGGATGAATGGGGAGTGTGTGTGTATGTGTGAGCGAGAGACTTTTGATTTTTTAAAAATCTTTATTATGTAGGTATTAAAACTAATGGTGAAAGTGCAAAGGTATGTGGCCCTCTGAGGGGCTAAGCATGAAAAGGTCATAAGCAACAAAAATACCATGTGAGCAGAGATTGGTACCCCTCCTCCATGCCTCTCATGGGGTTACACATGTAGGACCAGCTGTCTGCCTTTCACTTTCCAGAGGTAATAACCCAGCACAACACAAATTGGTCCACATTTTCTTGCAAGGTGAAGTTTCCAAATTCAAATGTGATGCATGTCTGGACCCAGAAACAGAAGAGTTGGAGTGCATCATTAGAGCCAGCTCCTCCAAGCCAGTTTCTGTGGCTTTTCAGAGTTGCTGTCTTGGCCTGGTTTGGCATGAAATTGGCCAGGCAGATTGCACACCCCTTGGCTCTTGGTACTGGATAGAGGAGATATACATAGTCTTGTAAAAGTCCAAGTCCAGAGTGCCAAAGAGGGTGCTGAGGGAAGTGAAGATTGGCTGTAGCTGGGGGCAGTCCAGGACGGTGTAGAAGAAAGTCTCCTCCACCTCCTTTTTACAGAATGGGCAGGCCATTGATGCCACTGGGTCTAAGTGGAAGACAAAAGTGCCCATGGCCAGGGCTCCATGCAGCAGCTACCACTGGAGGTGTCCAGTTACCTTTGTGATGGGTAGCTTGTACAGGGCGCAACAGGCTGGGTGGGTTTGCTTTTGTGTTGCTGCTGTTAGGTGCCATCTCCAAGTCATGTCAGGGTAGGTGGCAAGGACACAGGCACGATGCACTTCGTCTATGTGTACAGTACCTTCTCAGACAGGATCTCAAGGTAAATTCCACTACTATTCTTGTTAGGCACAGGGAGGGACAGCAGGGTGCTGGGCCCATCATTCTCACTGCAGTCCACAGCAGGAGAAACAGGTCTGTCATTGGTGAGGGCTTGTTGTGTGCAGAGGTGGTCTTCTAGAGCAATAAGTGTATTTGTGGGAAAGGCATCTTTCACTCCAGCTGAGATGTGCAAAGCAAAATGGACAAAATGAAAGCCCAGCCAGTCAGCTAGAGCTTTGGCTGAGAGCCAGAAAGGCTGAGATGACTGGAAGAGGCAGGTATGCTTGATGGTGTACAACTGGATGAAGGAAGCAATGAAGCTTCAGGAGGTGAGTCTTGGTGCCCCCTGTTACAAGGCCAAGTTATGGACCAGGGGCTCTTATAGTGACTTTGGAAATTGCAGAAACCTACCCTGCGGTTTCAGTCAGAGATAGGCCCACCTGGCCCAGGCAAGGCTTTGGTAGAAGCGTGAGCATGGCAGGGTGCTCCAGCCAAAGTGATCAGGATCCAAAAGGAATGGTTCCTGATCAAGGTTGAGGTCCCTCACCAATGCAGGAAAGCAAAGGTCAGCTGTTGCCAGGGGAGGCATTTCCTAGCAAAGAGCACTTGCTGAAGGGCTTGCTGGCAAAAGGCAGCCAACCTAATCACCTGGTTGATGAGACCCTGGCTTCTCTTGCTGGTGGGTAGGTAGGACAGTTCACTGGAGCAAGTGGTGCCAGTCACAGAAGTAGTCCAGGAGGACCTTGTGAATACTTTCAAGAAGGGTCATTGGTGGATCCAGGATGGTGTACCTGTGCTGCAGAGTAGCAGCTTCCAGGTTGTTGATGATCAAGATTGGTCATGGTGGGAAAGATTGGGCAGATGCCAGGGCCACCACAGGTAGTTGTGCCTCAGCCTTCTCATGAAGCCTTTTCCAGTTCTTGGCTAGATAGTCAGGAGGGGCTAGGAAAATGCCCAGAGCTTTGAAGCCATTGTGACATCAGATAGGGCCTCCAGGCAGGTCTGGGAGCTGAGAGTTGGCTCAGGTGCTTGGCAGAAATGTGTGACTTTTGGCCCAGTCGACACAGGCTGAAGAGGCACAGTTGTAGGCCCAATGACATTCAATCAGGGAGTGGTCATCATCCTCACTTTTCTCAAAAACAGTCACATTGACATATGCTGTCACCTTAACTGAGGGGCCAGCAGGGGGAGGAGGGAAGAGGAAACAGCAAGAGACAGAGAGAAATTAGGCATGGGGGAAAGCTCTGAGCTCAGTGCATCAGTCCTTTGGGCAGTGTGGTCATCTCCCAAAGTTTAGTAGAGGGTAGCTCTGTTTTTCACTATGTAAGTTCCATTAAAGCAAGGCTTCTATAATGCACACATTAGTGCAGAGAGTGGAAATGAGACACAGAATGAGGAAGACTATGGTCACGTTCGGATCAGAAGCCAGGGAGCAAGGCTGGACTTGGGATGCTATCACTGCCTCAGGTTTGAAAGCAGGGAGTAGGTTTGACTGCAAAGTTAAAGTTAGTATTGAGCTATGGAGATGGCAAACTGAGACTGGCTTGGGGTTGGAACTGCATGGCAATGATTAATAGGGGAAGCAAAGAGAGGGAAAGAAAAAGAATAAAGACCAGAGTTTGTTCTACTTATTTGTTGTCTGTGTGATCTCATTCCCTTCTTGAGTCCTGGAAAAACTATGACTATGCCTGCTTTTGCACTGCACCTTCAGCTTAGCCTTAGTACTACATCAGAAAAAGCAGTGGGGAGGAGGTAGCCTCAACCACCTCTTGCATTAATGTTTTGCATGACTTGAGTAGGATGGAATAGAATCATGCTCAGACATTCAACATGGGGAATAGGATCTGGGTCTGAGCCTCCAGGGGTCTGGCTAAAAAAATTCAGTGTTTCCGGAAAACCTCACACATGGCAAAGAAAGTTTACCCAGTTCCAAGTAGAAGTCCTAGATTTATGTTATACAAATAAACTCACAGTTTAGCCCAGTGAGCACATGCTTTTACTAATAGTGTGTATGTGTGCATACACAATAACCTGTGTTGTGTATTTTATACATTGGTTTTGGTTTATAAAGCACTGCATAAATGCTCATGGATTGACAAAGCCAATGCAATTGTTTGTAAATAAACTATATGGCACTGCTGCCCTGTGCACTGGGTAAGAGGGTTTTTTTTAACTCTTGATATTTTGACAACCATTTGAGTGTGTCTCTCACATCATCTTGTTAGAACAAGGAATTCTGGACACAAGGTAACTTTCAGGCAGCTGTTCGATCTTGGGCAAAACCCCTCGATTTTGAAAAAGTAAATTTGCTGTACATTTGTGTGCAGCTTTTGTAGCTTATCTTCTACCCCTTCAGATACTTTCTAGGTCATCTAGACCCAAAGGAAATAAAAAATATGGAGAATGTGAAGTGAATATAACATCAAAATATGACTTTTTTAGTTGAAGGGAAATATTGTTAGCTGTGACTGTAGGTCTTTCACCTAGGCCAAAAATATCACAGTTAAAGTAAACCAAAATGAAAGCAGCTTAAAAGTGTAAATTCACCCCAAAACACAGAAGGGACAAGACTTATATGAATGGGCATGTAATTGTTAATGACAGTAGTATAGAAAGTTAGTTTAGCTGTGTTAATTCCAAATCTGGCAGAAGAGAGAGAGACTCCATATTGACTAATAAGACTGAGTCAGAGATGCATAACCTTTCATGAGCAAAAAACAAAAGCTTATGCATCTTTGATTTAGTTAGTCTATAAGGTACATCTCTACCCTGCCTTCTGCCTCAAGCTGGTATGAGACACCAAAAAGCACCGTATCCTTTGCTGTAAGTGGTATTTGCATGAAAGGTTCAAAAGTATGAGTACGGCATGGCAGTGTTAGTCATATGTGCTAAATCTACCAGTGAATTATGCATAACACTGCAAATTAATACCTACCAAAATGTTCATAGAATCATAGAAATTAAGGGCTGGAAGGGAGCTTGAAAGACTCCAACCTCCCCTGCTCTGGGCAGCAATACTGTTGAGATCAAATGATTCCAGCAAGGTGTCTGTC